AAGCACTTTGTTTTTTGCATCCTTTTATACATAATAAATAACAAATATTTTAATGTCTTCTTTTTAATACTGTATTATTTATTACATTAAAATTTTCAGTGTTCTCTGCTGAAATACAAAAAATCTAGAAAAATATCTTTAACAGCGAAATTAAAATGTAAAGATATTTTTAATTAAAATTGAATTTAATTAAAATTGAGTTGAAACATATTTCACATTCATTGAGGTAGTAGTAGTATACAACATTTTTCAAGCAAGTAAAATGAAAATTCTGTAATGTAAAATTTATGTTTGGTAGACAGCTTAGTGATTGCGGATTTTAAATAAGACGAAATATTCAAAATTTTTCCTCGAAAATATATCTTTATTAAATGAGGTACTGTCTACTTTTATTAATGACCTTTTGCTATCTTTTAGACAGTGTCATAATTATGTTTTCTTAAAACTTTTGAATTTTTAATTAAAAAATCAGAAGATCTGATTCTTTAATTGAAGCGTCAGAAGTCTAATTGACCTAATTTAATTCAGTTTTAATAAAATCAGATTTTCCATCATCAGCTTTATTAAAAAGTTTTTCATTTAAGGAGTTTTTCTTTGATAAAATCAGATCAGTTTTCAGTTTTAATAAAATCAGATTTTCCATCATCAGCTTTATTAGAAGGTTTTTCATTTAAGGAGTTCTGCTTTGATGTCTGAAGGCAGATGAAATCTAAATTGCGCAATGTGATGGTTATATGTTGGATGTAACATCACACGCCAACCCAGTGGCGGATTGGTCAAAGAAACTGGCCCTAGCCTCCCACATGAAATGTCATTATGCATATAAGTTATCATTGTCATCATCACTATAAAAATAATTTTATAAAATTTTTTAAAAAATAAATCTAAAAGCCTTCAGATTTTTATATTACCCCCAAAGGGGCGTTTCTTTAACGTTTTGCGTGTTACCTTTATTTATTAAATATCATGTTCTTCGCACTTAAACCATAATATTCAATTCAATAGCAATATCGCAAAATATTTAAACGAGTACATCTTTAGAATTTCCAATACATTGTCTCGCGTACTGGAGATTTAAAAAAAAAAAAAAAAAAAAATATTCGTATAGTGTTATCATTGCTCGCTTTGAAATGAAATTGTTGCTCTTCTTAATCAAAACCTCATAAATGCTTTACAGAATATGAAACCGATAAAACAAATTGCAAATTTTGGCTTCCAGATGCTCATATTCGGGCTAAGATGTACGTTATTCAAATTTGAGGCTTTAGGTACGGTTATTTTATCACAATACGAGAAACATACATACATTTATGCAGATTCTTCATTATTTAATTTCTTTAACCCTCTGAGCGATCAGGGTTTTCGCTACGAAAGCACAAATTTCCCAAAACTAGTATAAGAACAAATTATTTTTTTGATTTTAATGTAAAAACTCTGCTGGTATTTTATACCTGGATTTGTGTACTTTTGATATATTACCTTAATTTCTTTGACATATTTTAATATCCACGTATATTTACGTTCTTACAGATATCACAAAAAAATATTCTAAGCCTTATATATACGACCTTGCCGCTTACAGGGTTAAATATAATACAGGGCTCTAATATTTGATGGCAACAAATTAATATTGATGTGCCGTTTATAGTGAATCAAAGCAAAATGCCAAAACGAAATTAAAAGCCATTCTGGGCAAAATCCGACTTTGGGCTAAAAATATACCTTTGCAGAAAAGTAATACTTTATTTATATACATATAAAATAAACTACAAACAATAGATAACAGTGACTAAATAATTATATAAACAAAACAACAGCTGATTCATAATCAGCCATTTAAATATTTTTTAATTCTAGGCCGGCTGGGCAAATATTTCCACCATAATATCTTCAATTTTCGCTTTAACCAAAATATCCTTCTCTGTGTTTATCAATAACAATGACTCCAAATTAGTTTGCCTCATAGTAACCCTTAATCTACTTTTTCTTACAATTTTTAATTTTAAAAAAGCTCTTTCGCAACTTGCGTTATTGATAGTGCGAATACAAACTTATAAGCAAAGACATTGGCATTTGCGTTACTATATAATTAACTCTTGAAATGCAAATTAGATTACAAAAGTAATTTGTATATAAATAAGACAATTTTTCGAAAAATTGCATTTAGCTTTGGATGAATGCTCATTAATAGACAGAGCACTCTTTCCTTCTGACTCGGTATCAGATTCAAAATAATGATTTTTAAATTGAAGTTTCTAGTATTTTCCATTTACTTATTAGGTTCTGATTTACACTTGCATAGTGACCTAATAATAGAGATAAACATTCGAAAGAATTCGGCGGCAATGTCTTCGAAAAGTTTGGGGGAACGAGAAGAGGTATGTCTTCATACAACTTTCTGTACCCTTTAAACCTACTTTCATTGATGAAATTGTGTTATTCATTATAAAATTAAAGACAGTAACTTCGAATTGCTTTGCATTTGATTCACTTTTCGGCATCTTCTAGCAAGTAGTTCTACTTCTATAATTATATTATAACTCAGTCTTTCTAGTTTACTATTGCAATTCATTGCAACCGATTTTGATGCATTAAATATTAAATCAACTTCCTAGAAATCACTTTTAAAGATCTTGTAGTTTCCCAAACCATAATATATGCTAAAATGTTTTAGAGCTATTAGGTTATTTTGAAGCAGAAGACACGAAAATTGAGCAATGCCCTCGCCGGGACTCGAACCTGGAACTCTGGAATACGCGCTGATTGTTAACCGTTACGTCATGAAGGCATGCAGAAACGAGGGCGAAAATACCTTATATACTCCCTCTTTTAAAGGGCGACTGGAAATTAGGAGACTTAATCGCCAAATCCTGGTGGCTAAAAATCAACATCCGCCACATTTTAGTTCGGGCGCCATTATAGACGGATTAGGTAATAATTATAATGTAATCTAATCATTTAGTCTGCAAATATTTCGTTACTGGCTCAGTATATTGAAATATTTTCAATTATACGAGAGGAGACAAAATTATTCAAAAACGTTGATCTTTTGTCCGGAATAGCTTTTGCCATTTGTGGTATCTGGGCATTTTGTATATGATTGGAAGCAATGCTGTTGAGTATAAGTATTAATTCCATCAATCTCTCATTCCTCCTATAAATCTCTCATTCCTCCTATAATCCTCCTATAAATCCTATAAATCTCTCATTCCTCCTATAATCTATAAAGCAAATTGGACACAAATTGATATGCATACAGGTTTCGACGGAAAATGCAAAATTTTACATTTTGGCTGCCAATGAATGAACGGTTGTCGCTCCAGTGCATCTGATCTGCGCAACTGGCAGGATATTTAAGAGAAATTACGATTCAAGCTCATAAATTCTTCACGAATTTCATCCCGTATACTCTGGTAGACAGTAACTATGCCGCGCATACAGGTGCGCGAACGATATGCGCAGATGTTCGAATTTGAGAGAGGTCGTGTCGTTGGATTCAAAGAAGCCGGTTGGTCTTATCATTCGAATAGCTCGACATTTGAGCAGAAGCGATGCCACTATTAGACGATATTGGTAGGAATGGGTGAACCATGGCCGCACACAGCGTCAAGAAGAAAGCGGTAGGCCTAGAGAAGCGACAGAACGTGAAGACCGAGCAATCGTCAGAGCGGCACTCACAGCCCCAGATGCACCATTATCATCGATTGTACGTGCAACTAGTGCTTCAGTGACCGCAAGGACCATTCATAGACGGCTCTCACAGAAAGGGGGTTAAGGTCACGGCGCCCCTTGCGCCGACTACCATTATGCTCTGTATAACGTCAAGCCCGTTTGCAGTGTTGTCGGGTTCATTCGCACTGCATTGTCACTGATTGGAGTAGAATAGTCTTCAGTGATGAGTCTCGCTTTGAACTGAGCCCCGATGACCAGCGAAGGCGAGTCTGGAGACGCCCCAGACAGCGGTGTGATACCAACCTGACTGTCTTTCGGCAGAGAAGCCGACAACCAGAAGTGATGGTCTGGGATGTCATTTCATTTCATAGTAGGACCCCTTTGGCTGTCATCCGTCGCAACCTAACAGCACAGCGGGACGTCGACGAAGTTCTAAGGCCCGTTGTTTTGCCTTTCATGTCACGCCACCCTGGGCTTACATTTCAGCAAGATAATGCCGCCCCTACATTGCACATGTTTCTACTGCTTGCCGAACATTACCTTGGCCAACAAAGTCGCCGGATCTCTCTCCTATTGAGCACGTTTGGAGCATTATGGACAGGGTTCTTCAACCAGCTTGGGATGTTGACGATCTAACGCTCCAATTGGACAGAATTTGGTACCATATCCTTCAGGAGGACATCCGCAACCTCTATCAATCGATGCCAAGCCGAATAATTGATTGCATAAGGGCCAGAGGTGGACTTTTTCGCTTTTTCGCTGACTTTTTCGCTTTGTGAAGGTCTATCACTTCAATAAATCATCCAATTTTTCTCAAACTGTAATCATTTGTTTTTCTGTATGTGTACATCACTTCTACCGATTTTCGTCCCATTCGGATAAATCTTTCCTGGTGCGTCGTTTTTTTTTTTTTTTTTTTTTTTTTTTTTTTTTTTTTTTTTTTTGTCTTAAGAATGTATATTGCAGCTGTTGGTGTTGTGACTTTTCTCATTTGTCTGACAGTAACATCAGAACAAGCCCACTTGCCTTAGTGCTTGCTGAACATTACTTTGACCCCTCAGAAAGCTTTGTGCGGTGTATATAATTACCGTAATCACAGTGTTATTAAAAATAAGGAGAATATGAAAGGAATGCATTGATTTCAAACAACGATTCAAGTTGATCCCTCGCTAAACATTATCTGTTTTGTTCCTCAGTGTACTTCTAAAGATTCCAAAAATCTAGAATAAAATCAAAGACGAATTTGAAGCACCATCTATCGGTCGGTAATCGGCATTTACTCTCGAACTTTTGGGCGAAATTGCACAGAGGAAGTTCCTAATGGCAAAGAATATGTTCTTTGCTAACGGCAACATCCGGTTAGATACAGTATGGCGACTTCGAAGGGAGCAAACAACTATAACAGATTAAATTGGGAAGATTCGGTAAACATTTTGTTCACTTTTCTTTTTTATTCTGTTTGGTTTTCTAAAGTTAATTAACACCTAATAGTTTTTATAGATCTTTTTTCATAGTTGTCTGATTTTTGTATGTACTGTGTTTTTCAACGATAAAGATTGTTTACTATTTAATATGTGTTTATGTATTTGATTTAATTTGTCATTTTTGTATTAAAACGTATAACTGTTGTAGGAATTCCCCGTGTTATGCCAGACATGTCTTGGAGACAATCCGTACATACGAATGGTAAGTTTTGTTTAGAATATTTAAATTTTAATGCTTTCATTCATTGTCGTCATACCTAAAGATGGTTTATAATAATTTATAAATCTATATACTTTTGCTATATAATATTTTTTGGAGTCAGTATAAAAAAAATATGAGATTTTTTGTAAGCAGTCTATTACCTTGCAAAACTTAATAGATTGATCCTGATACGATTCACTAATTTGTAATTAGAAATTATTTTGCCATGTTTAATATCTGTAATATTAAGTTTTTATTGATTATTTTAATTACTTGTGTGATTCAGATAAATGGATTTTCATTAAGTAATATTGCAGAAGCTTGTTTTCTAAATTGAATCTAGGGGCAAAATTTAGTGGTTTGTATTTTTCATAATAATTTTTATATGGGATTAAATTTATAGGCAAATTCTGCATTTATTTACACAGTGGGGCAGTAATGAATCCATATATGCTGTTAATATTATTTATGATTCTTTAAAAGAATAACTGCTGTATGTAATATCTTCTCTGACCTTGTGTAATGTTGACAATGGAAAAGATTTGAAAAATTTATTGTATTTCAGTTGTGTTATTAAGTATGATTACATGGATAATTTTGGGTCAGAAATCAACAACATTCATTTATAAAAAATTACCTTTGGTCATGTTTCTAATTTTGTCATGCAGTAAGCACATTTTTAGCAAGCAGTTAAGTATTAGGCAAGCCTTATCCCAGGTATTATATATTACAAAAATATTGAGCTTCAACACTCAAGACAACCAGATCGAGACTGTCCAACAGTTAGCGTAATTGTGGTGAATTCAGTTCTTGATGTTACCAAATCAAAAATGTTGTCTATAATTGCTGGTTTGTCTGAATCATTATTTGTTAATTCAGGAGACTAACTGTGTATATATATTGGATTCTTCATTTTAATTTTGAAATATGTTTTGGTACTTTTCTGTTATTGGAACCTTACTAAAAAATGTATGTATGTGTGTGTGTATACTAACATGTTTATAGATATATTGCCTTTGTTATTTTAATTTTGAAATGTGTTTGGTACTTTTCTGTTATTGGAACCATTTTCAGAAATGTATATATGTGTGTGTATAAATATACACATTTCTAAATGCAGTCCCAGTTACAGGAAAGTGCCCATTTTTCTGATCTTTTGAATTCTTCATCTCATGTTTGGGAAAAAATATATTTCAGGGTCCATCTTGATGAAAAATTGCCAATTGTTTTGCCACCACTCATGTTTGCATGTAATACCTTCCCAAGTAAAATGACGTCCAAAATATAATGCAATAAAACGTATTTAAAACATAAAAAAATTATAATCTCAATAAACTGCATTTTAAATCAAAATAAAACAAGGAAATAACATAAAATTAAAAATATCGAACCTGCACAGTACAAAAAAGAACTTACCTTATTTAGAAATTTCCATGTCTTCAGTGTGTGGCACACAGAATTCCCTAACAGCACCCAAAACTTTTTAAAAGTATCTGAACTAGAATCTATATACTACTGTCGTTACATAAATTCACAAAAGAAAGAATCATAAATACTGTCTGTATTGCCGGATTCTTAGTGGCATTTCTTTCAAAAATCTCTTTTTATTACACCCCATTTGATGGTCTTGATGTGAACTCTGGTTTCCAGATTCTTAAATGTCACTTCATGATTTACTTAGAGGTGAATAAAGCCATTATCAGAAAGAAAATTGTACAACTTCCAGCAATTGTATAGGATGGTTGTTTCAGGTAAGATATTACATTGAATCCAACAAAGTTTCTTTTCGTCTGTCTTCAGTCTCTTAAAAAAAATACCTTCCACTTCCTCATTCTGTGCCACCAAACACCCACTTTCCTTCCACTTGTTACCACAGGCAGCCATTTTATGGTGTAAAGCACAAAATAAGCAACGTACTTAAACGAGGCCTTAATCTGCGAACTCTTTGTTTAAGCTAGGTAAGAACTTCTGCATAAAACTGTCTAGTCACAGCCTTGTCAGGTGGAACAAATTCTTGATGAATTAGCCCTTTGCTATTGATAAAAAGGAATTAACATTGTCTTGATTGTGGAGTTTTGGAATCAAAATTCATTTAGTCTTGGTGAACTTGGAGACCATCATTCGGAGCTCTGCCTTTTGCTTTTAGGGTCATATTGGTAACACCTAGACTCATCTCCCACTACTATTGAATTGAGGAATGCAAGGTCAGCATTAAGTCCATTCTTAATTGCTTTTGTTCCTACAATAAATAGTGAACAAATATCAAACAAACGTTGCATTTCAGTAGGTCTTCTGTGAAACTTTGCTGAACCACCTACTTGGAAATGTTCAGTTCCTTGGTGAGTACTGGAATAATGAATTAGCATAAGCTCATGAACTCATGAACTTAAGCTCATGAAGTCATAAGCTCAGGAACTTTCTTAATTGTTTTTCGTGTGTGCTGGAATGTAGGCATCCAGCATGTGTGTCATCTTCGACATATTTGAAGCGACCTCGAAAATGGCTGAACCATTCAAAAGTGCAAGAGTGGGATTATGCTTCCTCTCCATACACTTATTTCAACATTTCATGTCTTTCTGCGGCAATTTTGCTCAATTTGAAGCAGAATTTAATGCTAATTCTGTGCTCTGTATCAACAACAAGACTTTGAAGGCCCGTTCACACGACTCGAAACGTAGCTTATAAAAGCGCATTTATGTTAATTATTTTGCGCAAAAATTATTTGTATATTTATGTTAATTATTTTGTGCAAAAATCATGTGGTTCTGTAATATAGCATCAACGGAGCTATCATCTTGTTACTTCGCTATGTTTCTGTATGAATGCGGCAAGATGTCGGAATAAGATGATTTTTTAATAGCTGAAACGTTACTGTTAAATACAGTAATTAAGCAGAGCCAAAAATGCAAAAAACGGCAATTATGGGTCCGAAAGATTTATGTAGAGTGACCTGTTAAAAGAGATTTTTTTTTTTTTTTTACTGCCTCGTTTGCGAAATTAATAACCTGAATTATTTTTTAATTACTTCAGGATGAGTATCGTTTAGTTTGACAGACTTTTGTATTGTATGAAATTTAAGATTTATAAAATTGCTTTGGAATACAGTATATAATGAGAATTAAATTACTTGAAACACCATCCACCATATAATAAAATCAACTTCACATTTTTAATCTCCTGTCTTCTTTGGTTTGCTTGCTTATGTGTGATATGGGGGTATGTGTAAAGGAATCTTTGTAAGAAGTAAAGCGTTCTATAATTTGATTATTTTCTATATATTATCACACAAATAAATTGGAAGAAAAAGCTCATTCAATAAAATTTCTAAAGATATGCTGTTTTTAAATACTTTCAGCATAATGTGATGTTAGCCCAAATGCTCTCAAAATGTGGATGTGCCTGTAAATTAAAAAAAAAAAAGGCCCGTTTAAGTGTAATTGTTTCGATTTGAAATCAGACTTTGTTTTATATCTAGTTTATTTCATTTAAGAACACATACAGATAAATGTGATTATTTACATGTAGAGTTTAGTATAAAGATAAAGTGATCCGTACATCTTAATGATAAAAAAAATTTCAGTATTTCATTAACGTGACTAACTTAACTGCTGCTTGCTTAGAAAAACGGGAATTCTCCAATCACAGCATTCGAAACTAGTTGCCAGATTCATAAATCAAACAAAATTACAAAACAAACTCTTAAATAATAATAAACGGGAAATGCTAAACTTAAAAGGAGTCATAACATCCTCCCCTCCTTTGCATTGCAGGCATGTTTTCCTTAAAGCAATGCATTATGAAAATGTATATTATGAAATTATGAAAATGTCTACATATAATAGACATAAATTTTAACACATGACATGAAACTGAACTAAGAACTGTAAATGTGTGAATATGACATCAAAGAACAAGAAACACATAAATGACATTACAATTATCTAAAGAAGAAAAAAGTCAATAACAGTTCATAAATCCATACATTTAACAGACACTTCTGGATGACTGCTGCACAATACCCTTACACTCTGCAGAATCTCTTTATCGCAAGTTTCTGTTTCTGGGATAGTCTGGGGATAAAAGTATATTTATGGGTATGTATCCCTTAGTGATTTTTGGAGGTACATGGATACCGAGTTTGTGCAATTCTTTGACCTTGTTATTTTGGCTACACGATGCCAACTCGGTATCCATGTACACATCGACCTATTTTTCACTTAAAAAAATATCCCAGAATTCCAAAAAATTGGCATTGTGCACTCCCTTTATCCATGTACACATCAACATGCTTTCACTTAAAAAAAATCCCAGAATTCCACAAAAATGGCATTGTGCACTTCCTTGAGTTTTTCCATGTACATATCAATATATTTTCACTTAAAAAGTCAAAGGAGCACCTAATTCTACAGTAGAGGCAGACAAAAAATGCAGTCTCAATAAACTACATTTTAAACCAAACAATAAAATAACATAAAAGAGGAAAAACCGGTTATGCATAAAAGCACTACACAAAGCAAATATTCACTTACCTTATTTAGAAATTCCTTTGTCTTCAGTCTGTAGCACACAAAATTTCTTAACAGCATCCAAAAACTTCCTAAAATTATCTGAACTCGAATCCGTATATTGGCGTCGCCACATAAATTCACAAAAGTAAGAGTAAAAAATATCATACTTAGTTCCGGACTGTCTGAAATAGCTACTAAGTAAACCTTCATTTACACGCCAGTCAATTAATGCACTTTTTCCCCTTCGTTCCAAATCGTACAAAAGCTTCAAATTAATCTTATTACATTCAGCTATTCTATCGTCTAAACAATAAAACAAGCAATGTACTTCCTAACAACACATACCACAAAAGCCCTTACAAAACATCCCATGATTCAAAATTTCCCGGAATAATGCAAATGATTACTTCATAATAGGGTTTCCGTAACATTCAAGTACTCAGGTTACCATAAATGAAACAACAACTTCATGATAACACAAGGGGTACCCTAAAGTCAACTTTTCAAAAAAAGTTTTTTTTTTTTTTTTTTACCCTAAAGTTCAAACGAGAGTTACGTCTCAGGTTTTTGAGGTATTTCAATGAAGTTGCCAGCAGAAGTAAGCTCCAGAGGATAAATTCGCTGGAGGGGCTGTATGATTTCACCATTGGCGACTCGTAGTTTTGCAACACGTTCAATATTGTCGTTGCCAGGAAACAGTTTAATTACCTGGCCTGAAGGCCAATTTATCCTGTTTGGATTCCTTGACTCAAATAGAACAATTTCTCCCGGAGAAATTGTTTTTCTCTGTGAAGATGATTTAGGACTTATTAATTCTCCTAGATATTCTTTACAGAAATGTTTTCGTAGATTTATCTGTAAAGTATGAAGATAATGTACACGTTTCATAATTTCAAATTCTGAATTCTTCATATGCAGAATACAAACTCTGTACTGTCGCGGATGCAAGTTTTGTTTTGATTCGAAATCAGACTTCATTTTATATCTAATTTATTTCATTTACGAACATATACAGTTACATGTAGAGTTTAGTACCGTTATTCAGCGGACTCGTCGGGGCTTTGGCGATTCCGGATTATAGATCATCAATTTAAATCTGGTAAGATGGCATGCAGAAATTATACAATTAAAAATATGAAACCGTAATTTATGAAATAAAAAGCAATTATGATCTAAAGGGTATCAAAATTTACAAAAAAAAGCGTAATATTTATTTGTTTACTTTATTAAACATTTCTTTCAATGTAAGTTGTTTAAGTTGCTTCATTTTTTGGGCTAATACTTTCTCTTTAATTCTATAAACAGACATAATTTCTTGTTCAGTTACAAAGTTCCACTGTTCAAGTTCTGTAATTGCTACTGACTAACTTGTCAATCGAAATTTTTTCGTTTTCATTAACCTCTCTGTCACTTTCTTCACTATCGGAAGTGGTACATTGAAACATGCTTTCGCTTTGTAGATCCTTTGGCAGCTCTAGAATTGGAAACTCTTTTTGACCTTTTTTTTTTTTGCAATGGATGTACATATGTATGTATGTATCTTGCATAACTCAAAAACAAGTTGTCTCAGAAGGTTGAAATTTTGTATATAAGACTGCTATAACACATAGTTGTGCAACTCCCTTTTTGGTTCAAATCGGCTACATCAAAAGAACATAAATATATATACCCACTCTGTTACTTGGCTCGGTGAGCTCAGTTTCTTTTATCCTTATATGTTGGTAAATTGTGCATTTTTTGCTTTAAAAGTGATTGAATTATGTTGTTTTTATGTTCCTTTTAAAGTTTTTATGCCTTTAGTTAATCTGCGTGCAATAGTTGTGGAATTATCAACAGTTTGAAAGTTGCTTAGGTGCGTCTGGCACTACTGGAGCAGCCATATTTGTTTACATCGAAATTTTGCAGGAAAAGTGAATAAGTCAGTTTTTATGCCTTCCGTGCCTTTTTGCCGAGTGTTACCAAAAGTAAACCTTTAATTTTGTACGCTGAAAAAACTGCCTTCTTTTCTGCTGGCCGAATTGCTTGTTTTTGTGAAGAAACTCTAATTTTAATTGTAAAAAAAAAAAAAGGTTTTAAACAGTTTTAACTGTATTAATTATATTTATGTTTTTTTATATTTTTCAATTTTTAATGAAGATGTTTTGAGTTTTTAGATATTTTTGCCTTGCTGCAAATTGAGAACAGATTTTTGAGAACTGATAATTGAATGAGAAATATATATCTATAATGCAATTCGAGGAAATAAGTTTAAATGAAATGCAGCAACAAAAAAAAAAAAAAAAAAAAAATGTTTAATTGAATAGCCGTACAAGGATGTCCTGTGGTGTCCACGTCAGATTTTGTAATGTATTTTTCTAATTAAGCAAGAAAAAGTAAAGAAAGTGCTGATAAATATAAATACTTGAATATAAGCAGTTTTTTATATTTATAAAATAAAACTAAACATTTAATAGGCAAATAAAAAGCTGACCACCTTCTTTCCCCTTGAAGTTACAAATTCCCCTTCCCAGTTGGAACCTTGTTCTAGAGTATTCGTTTGCATTGTCTACAAAAATCTAAAACTCTTCATTGAATTCTACTAGATTCAAATATGTTATATGAATAAAATTTATGATTTTTTTAAATTGATGTACAAAGGCATATCTCCTGTTTATGTTTGTTGCTAATTATAAATGTTCAATAACTTCTAATATATTCAGTATATTGTAAAAGTTTTAAATTTAACTAAAATAAACTTCTAGTAGTCTGATAGCCAAGTAATTAACTTAAAATGAAGCTGAATATTTGATATCTGGTAGCCTGCTAAATTGATCATAGGTTTATTTAGTATTTTTTATTTCAAAAATCTCGGAGAAGTCTCTTCATATTGTTATTTGATAAGATTATATTCAGCCCATTCTTAAAATGGATTAACCTGATCTGCATTGCTGTTATATACTTAATAAATGTAAAACAACAAGTAGAAGAATGTATGTCTGTGATAGTTGTTTTGTTAGATTTCCATAAGTAATAGTATTAAGAGTGCATTTACATTTTAAGGTACTTACGTATTAATGCAACCATTTTGACCAATTTGGCGATTTTTTGCAGATGAAAGCATACAGGTTACGTATGGGTTGCAAGTTGGTAGTTTTTATGCCCTTTTTTTTTTTTTTTTCCAAAAAGATTTCCGAACTATTGATATCTTTAGTATGTCGGTAAGCATTATCAACATATGAAAAGAGAACATGCTTTAGCTATTTAAAGTACACATTTTAATTAATAAATAAAGATTACATTATGCATTAAAAAAATAAGAAAATTGTGGAGACTTGCTTCATGCGAACCTTGGCAACAGCAGCTATCTACAAACTTCATTTCCTCATGTTCCTTTTAGAAAATTTTTAGCAAAATTCTGTATTCCCACAGAAATTTTACTGCAGCATCTTCCATAGCTGGCAAATTTCGCAAGTTCATATTTTAAAATTAAGTTTAAGGCACTGTTGGAACTTAGAATTTAATGAAAAAGAACGTGTACAAAAATGTGGAATTGCTTGGCTGAAGGATTGTTATGAGCATGGTTGCTGGAAGAATGGTTATGTGTATGGTTACGAGAGTTTGACACATTCTGAAAATTCAGCGGCTTTTACTAAGGTGATTGCATTAATATGTAAGTACGCATTTCAAGATGTGTAAAATATAGATAGGATATTCTGTAACTGTTATTGATTGAAAATGTGTATTTTTGATACATTACTTTTCTTTCAGACCAAAGAACGCTTTGGGAAAGAATGCAAGATTTGTTCCCGTCCTTTTACTGTGTTCAGGTGGTGTCCTGGGTCAAGAATGAGGTTTAAGAAAACAGAAGTTTGCCAGACTTGCAGTAAACAAAAAAATGTTTGTCAGACATGTCTGCTTGATCTTGAATATGGTAAAATAATCTGCTTGTTTTTATATAAGATTAGAAGTTTTATCTAATTAGTAATCAACTGTAAATGCAATTAAATGTAAATATACAACTTCTTACATTTTCTAATAAATTTCAGAAGCCCTTTTAAAAGTGTAACATTATCAGAGATTTTTAAGACTTGAAAAAAAATTGGCAGTGTTAAAGTGTTTGAATTTTTTTTTTTTTTTTAAATGTGAAATAATTTACCAATTAAAAAATGGCCTTACATAAGTGCAGAAAATTCTGATGGATCTTCAGACATTGGACACAAAGGTCACAAATTTAAACAAGCTTCAAATTGAGTTATCAATTTTGTAAATTCTTCTTGCGTCAGAAGTTGTTTATCGTTTGCAATGTAACTTTCTAGATTTGACTGCAGCTTCCCATAATCCTCCAAAATGTGGCGCAGAGGGAGGATTAAATATCCACTTAATACCTTCAGTAGAGCAATATTTATTAACCAATTCATTTTTCTTCAAAGAACTTATTATTTTCAGTTCCTTATCTGCAGCAATAAAATTCATGCCACAATCACTATACGCTTCTATTGGTTTTCCTCTTCGAGATACAAAGCACTTCAAAGTGGCAACAAATGATTATGATGTTAGATTGCCTACTAATTCAATATGTATAGCTCTTGTAGCAAAACACACGAATACACAAATGTAGTATTTCATTGGTTTTACCCCTCGACCTTGCCTGGGCTTCATTTGAAATGGCCTGGCATAGTCAATCCCAACCTTAGGGAAAACCTTTGACTTACCATCATCTATGGTAAGATGGTGGTAAGTCAGACATCTGGGATGTTTTTGCACATACACGATGGCATTTCACACATTTCCAAATCTGTTGTCTTATAACTGACCTAGCGTGGATTATCCAATAATCACGGTAGCAATAGCAGGAGGTCAGCATGAAGATGGGATGCATGAAAATGATTCACTATTATCTGGGTTATGTGATGTTTATTGGGCAACAAAATAGCATATTTTCTGAGCTGCATGGTGTTGGCTTGTCTTAATCTTCCTCTGACGCTTGTAAGTCCATTCTTATCAATAAATGTGTTCAAAGAAAGGATATTACTATTTGAGTTTAACAGTTGGTTATCCTTAAGAAGATTATATTTATTCAAAAGCTCATCCCTTTGATCTACTATAACAATTGCATTTCTAGCATATTACAATTCTTCTTTAATCCTTGTCGCTGTAGATTTAGCTGAATTATTTGCAAACCGAAAACACCATGCAACAATTAAGTTTCAAGAATGCTGAAACTTAATTAAGAACTGGAATTTGCGAAGCACCTGTTCCAATTGAACAAGAAAAATTTTTCCATTTTTTTTTTTTTTAAAGACTCTTCTGAAAATGGTAAGTTGATAGAGAACAGAATATTATTAATATTATTTAAACTAAGCCACTGAGGACCTGTCCACCAGAAGTCATGAGTAGAAAGTTCTGAAGGCAAAAGACCTCTTGATGCCATTCATCAGGATTCTCATTTCCTCTTATGCGATTCCAATGCGATGATGGTAAAACTGATTGAATTTCCGAAGTGCGGATGGCTACGAAGGTTTGTCAGCGTGTGGCTTCCGATTGTAGCTATGAGAAAACCATCAGTGAATCACTCCATGCGTAAATATCGTCAACATGAATTTGTGAAGAATTCTGCACAGCTTGTACCAAATGCACTGATAGAATGGCAGAGCAAAGTTCTAAACGAGGAATAGAAATTACTTTCAGGGAAGCTACATGAGTCTTTGATGTTAGTAGCTGCACTGAAACTGAGGAATTATTTGAAGACTTTATATAAATCACTGTGGCGTAAGCTTTCTCTGATGCGTCACAGAAAAATTAAGTTCTACATTTATAGCTTTGGGCTATAACACTTCTAGGAATACGAAAAGCATTCAAGATTTGCAATATCTTCACAATACATCTACCATCTTTGATTGATTTCATCTAGTAAGGGATCATCCCTCGAGATTTGTAATTTTCATATATCTTGAAGCAATATTTTTGCTGCAACTATGAAAAGTGTTAACCATCCAAGTGGATCTCTGTTCTCAAGATTTTCAAAGTGACAAGTAAACTCGTCTTGTGTTGGATATCACTCCAAATACAATAATTTTATTGATTTAGTATCAGCAATTGTGCAAGAAGAATTAGTGTTCTGAACATTCAATGAAGTTTTTAAAATCAAGCAATAATTTATACACCATTTATGCCATTGAAAGCCACCTTTTTGTAAAAGTTCACTCAGTTGTGAAATCAATTCTACTGCATTCTCTACTGTGTCTGAACCAAATAAGACATCATCAATATAACAGTTATGTAATATTATCTCAGCTGCCTTTGGGAATTTAGTTCTTTCGTAAGTTGTTAGTTGTTTGAGCATGCAAGTAGCCAGATATAAAGCTGAATTAGTGCCGTACCTGACTGTATACAACCTGTAAGATTTAATTGGCTTCGATAGAGCATCTCTTCACAATATTTTTTGGTAATCACGATCTTATTCATGAATTTGAACTTATTAATACATTTTCAATAAGTCACTAGTAATGGTTATGGGATAGCATCTAAACCTTAAAAAAAAAAAAAAAAAAAAAAAAAGTAAATAAGTCATCTTGTACCTTGGGACCATTCATTAGATTAATTAGGTGTCATTAAGCAATATCCCTGATGTAGTTTCTGCACTAGCACTGAAAATGACGCGTAAGTTTGTGGCAAGACTCAATTCTTTTAGCACATGATGATGAAGTATTTAATAATGCTCATTTACTTTATCTAGTATTATCATCAGATAATTCTTTTATGTGTCCAAGTGCTAAATATCTGGACATGAAGTCTTTATATTGTTGATATACTTCAGGAGGTTTTGTTAGTTTTTATTCTAGACTAAGAAAGTTGCGAAAAGCTGATGGTCTGGATTTACCTAACATATTTCTTTTAGGCTTGAATGGCAATTTTACTGAGTAACGACCATTTTCACTACAGACGTGATTTTCCAAAAAATTGTTTTCACACAATCTTTCCTCCTTAGTTAAAGGTTTCGATGTGGGAATTCATTCCAAATCCCAAAATGATTTAACTAATTCCTCAGAGTTTACGTTTACCGTATTGATTGAAATTTGCTTACGGTTTGGGAATCAAAATGTGTAGTTCGAGCAATTACCGTTCTAACTTAGAACAAAATGCAAATGGAAGATTTTTGTCCCTTTTAATTACTTCTCCATTGATTAAAGTAAAAAATATGTTAACTCGTAGCAAAATATCAATTTCTCCTGATTCATGAAATGTTGGATCTGCTAAAGTTAAATCTTGGAAGCTTTCATATAAATTCAAAGATAATGTTACACTTGGAATATTTCCTGTAATTTTGTCTATTATATAGATGGATGTAGAAATTCTGTAGCTAGTATTAAAATGAGATGTAAACAATAGGACAACTTCTCCAGTAGTAGTTGTACTGAAAGTTCCTAAGCATGACACTATCTTCAAATCCTTTATGTTCAATCCAAAATTGATAGCTTTTTCTTTGATTTTTCACTACCTGAATGTAGTAAGCATCTACAATTTATGAATTCATTTTTTGAGTTTTGAACCTTAATTAAAGGATACACAAAAGGACATGACTACATTTACCATTAGCATGAGCTCCAAAATGGTGATTTTTATAGTTGTTTGCACAAACGTTGGAGAAACCTCTTTCAAGTTGTTTTCTGTTTTTATTTTCAATTTCGGAACAAACATTTGTGCTTCCAATAAAGGGAAATTAGATGCATTTTTTGGTTTGAAATTATTTTCTAAATGCAAAATGCTATGATGATGCTTAAAACAAGTTTACAAGTATTTGCACTCTTACATATTTTAACCTTATGGACATTAGACAATCAATTAAAACAAATTTTATTAATCTTAACAAACTCTATTCATTTTTGCACTGGTAAGTTTAAAAAATTAGAACACTTGTGCAAAAAATGATCTTCTTTACAAAATAAGCAAGTAGAATTAGTAATCAGAGAATTAACCCTATTATACAATAATTTATCTGATTTATGCATTTTACTAATTAAAAGTTTAATGTTCTAGCATAATTCTTCAAAAAGTCTATTAAGTCATTCAACTTTGGTATTTCGTCTTTTTTTTAATTGACGCTCCCACCACAACTTGGACGAAACATCAAGTTTTTGCAACATAATATACATCAACAAAGCATCACTAAAATTATCTACCTTTTAATCCAATATTTCCAATGAGTGTATTATTTCATTTACATTATCTACTAAATTTAATATCAAGGATGCGGATTTTCTTTGTATTTGTGGAGACATTAAGAATTCATTTAATATAAGCAAATATCTATTCTCTTTTATTAGAAAATCTCTAGTAAATTCCAAGCAATACTGAAATTTTGATCAGCTGATATACTTCAGGAGTTTCGACTTCAGGAGTAATCGACTCACAATTTGTATAAATTTTGTTAAACAGAGATTTAAATCTTCCTTAAAGATTTTATATTTTTCTAACTTTAATTCAGCTTCAGCATTATATAAGCTATCATAATCTATTTTCTCGATGAATTTCACTAACCATGTTTTCAAAACTCTCTTCTGGTTTTTTTCCTGTACCTGACATTTTGAAAATATTCTAAATTCCCAATTTTACTAATACTTGAATCACAATAAAGCAGCAATAAAGAAATGTCAAATGCTATTATAATGTGTTAACATTTTCACTCACCTCATCCATTGTTTCCATTACATAACTCTTGAGAATTCTAAATCAAGAAGTTTATTATTAGCAACATTATGAAGACGTAGAATTCTTATTCACGAGCGCACCTTTTTCTCAAGCCTTCGGCATATGGTGGACCAAATATTATGTTGAATAGCGGTATTTTAAAATTAAATTAATAAACCAGGAATGCAACTTGTGCAAGCGGACTGTATTTCACCTTTTATTCAGTGATTTCAACTTTAGAAC